CTCTGCGGCTGCAGTCTGTAGGGGTATAGTTTGAACCTAAATAGCGGAGTGAAACATACCACTGCACTAGGCTCTACATTGGGCATATGTACAATCGAAATGTTTGTTATGCTCCCTGCCGAAGCCCTGCGGTTGATGGCCTTCTGCTTCCTATCTGCACACACTTCCATCGAGTCCAGGACTCTCAGCTTGGGACCCTCAAAGCGCAGGAATGCCTGCTCGCACGCAGGGTTCTCTGTTCTGAAAGGCCGCGTCAGCAGAATCTCGCGCGTGCTGCCAGGGGGTTCCAGACACTTCAAGCAGAAACCCACAGTGGTCATGGCCAGGCGCTCATCAAAGATCCATCCGCCAGCCAGAGAGCGGCTGCTTGGATCGGGGAGCACGAAAATCGAGGCCTCATGCATATGCTGTGTGAATGTCCAGCTTCGCCTGCCCACTGCCAGGTCCATGTCCAAACCTCGTAGTTCTCCAGGCATCCAGACGATGGACCCTTCCAAGGACTCCATGCTTGGAGGAGCGGCTTGACTCCTGGCCAACAACCGTGCCTCGGCACGGTCTCGAGCAGTCATGTTGCTGACCAGCTTGGCCTTGTATAGGTCTGATATGCATCTTGCACATAGTCGGGCAGCTCCTGAGCCTAGCAATCTCTGAAACCCCTTTGCGCCTTGCACCCCAAGGTCGCCTCCAGCCAAATGGTCTGAGCGGTGATGGCTTCAAAAAGCCACTCGAGCTGCTTCCCCAAGTTGAAGTGAAGCTCCTGCTGCTAGGAGTTGGATGGTAGTTGAGCCACGGCCTCCGAATGACATGGAAACCAATATCCCTTAATTCAAAAGAGGCCTGCACAGGTTTAGGAAGCCTAGGCAGTTGGAGACCCCATCCTTCTCCAAAGCATGATAACTGTTTTCGCCGAAACCCCCCACGCGCGGGAACCCAAGAACAGGCCGCTTTCACAGCGGCCCACGGGTAAGCCACTCTCTCAGCGGCCCGCCCTGAAAAAAGTCAATTTTGTGACATCTGGGGTTGTTTTGGTTGATTTTTACTCATTTCGCAGACGAACACGCAACAAAAACAACCCCAGATGTCACCAAATTGACTGTAAACTGAACGAACCCTCTAGCCCTGCCCTGAACCCTGAAGGCACTTGGAGCAAGTTTCTTCGGAAATGGCAACCTTTCCTGTTCTTAGCGCGGGGCCAAGCGCTTCCTGGACTTGGGATAGAGCTCCTGCCACACTGACCGCGCCTGCCATCAGGTAGGACTGACCGCTACGAATCAGGCAACCCCAATGGAATTACTACAAACTCAAAAGTTGTATTTCTCTGCCTTCTCCAACACGCTGGAATCCAGATCAGGATCTGAGAGGATGAGCAAGACAATGTCTGACTCCGAATCGTCAGTGCCATTGTTGCGGGACTGCCTCAACACCTCCTGCAGCCTGCTGAAGTCTCGCTCGATCACTGAATCACTTGACATCATGGCGTTGTACGCCGGCAGCACCATTTCCAGCGCATGCACAGGATGCCTCGTTCGCGCAGCAGACCCGCTGGTACGCTCCACGGCCCAAGTCCATGCCTCCAGATTGTTGTTGCCCCCACGGCGCTCCCCAATTAGCCTGAGCAATGGCCCCCCATGTCCAGGAACTGATTCTCGAGCAAGCGCTCGTCAACGGAGAAGGTAGGCGCAAGACGCAGCAGGCAGGACTTCTGTTCCGGCGTCAGCGCCCGTGCACCGCGGCGCCCGTTGGCCTCCGGAAAGACGGCGAAACTCATGACCAGCTTGAAGCCAGGATGTTCGGCTTGGACCACCTCCTTGGCCAAGACAGCCCACGCTTGCATAC